GCCTGAAGATTTCTTTCGTTTAGATACATAAGCCATTCCTTTAGGTAGGGATGAGCAGATCGCTTACTTTTTTTTTTCTTTTAATATACAACTACAGGAGGGCTACCCATGTTATAATACTCTACTGCCTAGAGCACATTCTTAGGGAGTGGGAGATATGTCTCTTTTGTCCTTCTTATTCTATGGCAGTTTCAACTCACAGCTCCCAATGCCCCAGAAAATACTCTTACCATCAAGTTATAGATTATTTTGGATTTTTTATCCTTATGTTGAGGCTTGGCCATTGTGCAGCTGGGAATGCAGGATTCATAGGGTGAGGGTAAGCAAGTGAGAGCATGATTCTGTAACTCCAGGGGGAGGAGAGAGGGCAGTCTTGTGTTCCAGACCCTGTTCTTAATAATAATTATGCATTTTATCTAATATTATTTTAATGTAAAATGAATAAATAGTCCACATTCTGCCTAAGGTACACTTTCAGTATCAGAATGCTCTTTTGGATCTGACCCTTAGTATGGTAAAAATAGTAAAAATCTCTCTGTGGAAGAAGTTTGATACATGTGAATAGCTATGATTAAAGTGCAACAGATTATATGATTCAGCTGAAATGAATTAACAAAAGTACCCTTTGTTTTATTAAGGGCTGCTCCATGATCAGAAGCTAAAATGGGAAATATAGTAAGAACTAAACAGGACTGTGACATCAGGCATGACTTTCAGAGAAAGATAAGGGCTACGGAAGAGAAGGAGTTAATGTGAGCTGAAGTAGTTTACAGAGAAATATTAAGAGGGGAGAAGAAAGAAATAGAATAATTAAGGCAGACAAAGTCACAAATTATTCTAAAGTAGCTGATCTCTTTAAAATTGGTCTTTGCCAGGAAAAAACAAAATGGGTATACGAGCAACTAGAACCATACCTTGCCATTGTTTTCTGCATCAGATCCTCATTGAAGTGAATGGGAGCCTAGCACAGGGATCAGTGACAGTAGATAGCTCTCAGAGAATAATGGAAACCTTTTAAATATACTGTAGCTGCCGATAAAAATCAGGTAAGGGAATACCCGGAAATTTGTACCTGTTCTCTTCTTGTGGACACAGAGGCAGAATTTCTAATACTGATGTATTGTCAGTTTGTCACACTACTGCACTTTAGCACTAAGTCCTAAATCTTCCCATCTGGTGCATGGACTGGGATATTTTCTCAAAGGGACTGGGAACAGATACAATATGGAAAATAAAATGGTGGAAGCTTGTGAAATATTGTATCCTCCAGTCAGGAGGCTTTGTGAAGTTGTATCTGTGATAATTTTTTTGTTATGTTTCTAAAATAGCCTGTTTTTTTTCACCTTCTCATTCATAAAATCGTTCTTCCATTTCCTTTAGATTCCCCTTATTCAAATACATAAACTAGGCCCCAGTTTGGGGTATTCCTTAGATATATACTTATATTCATACTTGTTTAGGAAAATACTTAATTGTGTACAACATTTTAAAAATGCATTAAGTGCCATTCGGTTCCATGGGAAGGGCTTTCTTGAGTAAAAATTCTGTCTTTAAGGGCTGAAGAAGATGTTGGAATGGGTTAGAAACAACTTTTATAGTCCTGTGATCTGGAAAAAAGGACAACACACAATTAGAAAATAACCTTGCAGCCAAAAAGAAAAAAAAAAGTACTGAAGTTTTCATTGCCTATGTATCCATTATTATTAGTTTTAAGATATCACCTAGTAACACCAGGTACATACCAGAACCTCATTGTGTCAGGTGCTGAACAAACAGAACAAAAGGACAGTCCTGCCCTAGAAAGATTAGTCACTAAGAGAGACTACAATTTAGTAATTATTTTTATTGTCAATTGTATGTCAGCATGCAAAAAACAGATTAGGATGAAATTTAATCATTTTCTACTTTCCTGAAGTCTGCTTTAGATTTAATGTTTGCTACTTTCCTGTTCTGTAATATCCAGTGTTTTCCTCTTTGTTTCAGAGAATATTGGAAGCAAACAGTTGCTTATAGGAGTTTGATACAGCTGACCTAACCATAGTAAAGTATTATTCAACTGTTGGGCTAGGTGCAGAGGTTCAAAAAAGCCTGAGCTGGATTTATACTAACTTTCACAGCTTTTTCTATGCACCCTGCATTAGTTTGAGAGCTAACAGAATTCACATAGGAGGGAGGCATGGAGGTGGCCAGCACTAGCCGAGGCCAGGAGGCTGCCAGAGAATGCCAAGCCCAGCTGAGCAGCTGACCACCCTGACTGGCCAGCATGGCACCTCTCCCCAGCCCCACCTCCCTCACTAGCTATCTGCTGCCAGCAACAGCTGGGGCGGGGGGGGGCATGCAGCCCCCCCCACTCCCCTCAGCTTGCTGGCTCAGGTCTGGGGGGGCTTTGTTCCCCCAACTCTCCCCACCCCCAGTTTCTGGCATGGTGAAGAGTTGCCAGGGGTCTGACCATGGCTCATGCCTGCAGCTGTCAGGAGGGTCAGGTAGGGCATGGCGGGGGAGTGGAGGCCCCTGCTGCATGGCTCCAGCCCTGAGCTAGCACAGTGCGGGGTGGGAGGATGCTCACATGGTGGGGGCCTCTGCTCCTCTCCCCAACTGTCTTACACTCCCTACCATGCCTCCCTCCCCAGCTGTTTTTGCTGGATCTGGGGGAGGGCAGGGCAGGGGTGGTCCTCTGCTCCCCCCTGCCCAGTCCAGCCCTGCTGACAGGTGCAGGCAGTGTACAGGGCTGGGGAGCAGAAGATTTGCTGCCTCAGCTCTGAGACAGCCAGGGAGCAGGGCTGGCCTGACATTCAGCTGGAGAAGACAAGCATGAGCTGAGGCTAGCCCACCTGCCCTGAAAGTGGGGGTTAGGAGGGGCCTGAAAAAGAGCCTGGGATATCAGAGGACAGTGACCTAACTTATGTGGGGAGAGGTTTTGGTGCAGAAGTTCAACAGACTGGTTTAACCTAAACTGATTTAATCTGATACTACATCTATTCAGGTTTATCTTAGACCGGGTTCTACCATTTTTAAACCAGCCTAGGAACTTTTGTTCTGTTACACATTTAAACCAGATTCCAATCACCAATTCCAATTTATGTGTAATTTCTGTACCTAGCCTTGATTACGACAGTACACTTGCTTAAGCTTAGTTCTGTCTTGATCATGCTTTCCAGCATTATTTGATATTGTAGCAGGCATTGTTTGGCAAAAAATCAATACCCTGTTTATATTAGTGGATTATGATAAAATCATTTACTATCTAAACTTTAAAACTGCAGCATTTATTTAAAAAAATTAAATAAACAATATAACTCTAAAGTAAATGGGAACAAGTAACAGGATCTATTAACCATGTGTGTAATAAACCTAGCACAAAGGAACAAATGTCTGTGCACACATTCACTCCCACAGGTACTTATATGCTTTATAAGCTAATGTGGAAGTTCATGGTGAAATGGTAGAGCCAGTTGTCCCTAATCACAAGTGCAAATGGAAGCAGTGGTTTAGCTAATTATGCAGTAACTTGCATCTCAGGTGGAAAAAATGATTATTTTCTTATATTTTATCATTTTCTGTAACTGTAAAACATAATATCAACTAAAGTTTCAAATTGGAAGGAACTTCAGAAAAAAATATTCAGTTTGATAGTATCAACATAAAAGTCCATAGAACTGTCTTTTACAATACATTTTAGCATTAATTTTATATAAAATGATTGATTTATTGTAAATTGAAATGACCAAACAGATTGTTTTTATACTTATTTAAATACAAACAGCCAAAGAGCAATATTTGGAAGCAGTTTGTAAGAATCAAAATGTGCTTATACAGCTGTATAATCCTAAACTTCAACATCAAGATGACATGTACTCTTCACTAGTGTATATGGTTTCCTTAGCAATGCACAAATATCACAGAAAAAATCTAACTTTCCCCTTGCTTCTTTCTGCCTGACTTCAGTTCTTGAAGTAATGTAAGTCATCTTTACATTTCTAGTTCTCGCATAATTTTCATTTTAAAAGCCCTATATAGCTATGCAATTTGTTTTTCATTTAAGAGGTTTTTTTTCTTTAACATCAATATTCCTTTATGGGATTGTATTATAAAAAGACAGGAATTCTTCTCTCGATGCTGTTAGATATACTAGAAATATTCTGCCCAAAACAAACCACTTCTTGCAAAAGAATATTTAAAAAGAAACACAAACTTTATCCTATTGAACCAACTAGTTAACTTTTGTGCATGGTTACTAATTTTAATAAGTGTCACTGACTCTATTTAGTATGTTTGCTGAGAATGCTACTAATCCTTCATACATTGATGGTATTTAAATATTAATAGTCACATTATCGTCATATATCCATGGAACTCTACACTGGCCAGTAATCTGTATTTGGCAGCTAAGTACAGAGAAAATATTCATCTGTGTATTTTGGCAAAAGAGGGCTTGAGGATGACTAGAAGTACAATGAGCTTCTGGTGAGAGTCACCGATACGACTTTCTGCGATCATTGTTTAGGTAAGGCCACGCTGTGCTTTGTAGGGAATATTTTTCTCACAGAAATAAACAAGTTGAAATTTGATTTTGTGTTGTATACAGCCCATGTGCTATGAGCACATTTATGAAAAGCAGATACAGTGAAGGACTGAATTTGACAAGTAGGTGGTGTTACTACCATTTTATCCAACAGCCTACTAATTAGGGCACTTGTCCAGATCAGGAAGAGCTGAGTTTAGTCCCATTCAACGCCTTCATTTCCTACATCCCAGGAGGACTTGCTAGCCATCATGCTGCGAAGGGCTGTGGGACATGGAAGAGCAGTTTGAATTTCTTGATGGTCTCTCATTTTGCAAAAAATCTAAGAAGAGAGACCCTCCCTCCCCACAAGGTTCTCCTCCCTAATGCCTGTGAATGTTTTATTGAGTCTAGTCTGGAGCATTTAAATAGTCCATTCAAAGTAGAATAACTTCACCAGGAAGTACTGAAGGAGTAATGCCTATTGCTAGGGACCTACCTGAATTGCAGTGAAAGTATGCAGCACAATAGCTCCTTTAATCTTGCTCTTTTCACTATGCACTCATCCCCAACCACTTCTGATTGGTGGAGGGACCCAGTTAGTCCCACTGCTCACTGCGTGCTGCTGATTATCTGGGAGACAAAAACCATGGTTTAAATATGCCACAGTTTTTGCCTCCTGGATGATCAGCAGAGAGCAGAGGGGCCACCAGGGTCCCTTGGCCAATCAGCAGTGGGAGGCAAAAAATACAGCATATTTAAAACTGTCATTTTTGTCTCCCAGCCAATCAACAGTGAGTGGTGGGACTGCCTGGGCCGCTTTGCCAATCTGCCCCTCTGGCAGTGATGGGGGAGGAGGGGAGGAGGGAGGCACACATCAAAAAGAGCAAGCTTAAAGAAGTGGCTGCGCAGTACACTTCTACCACAGTTTAGGTTGGTCCCTACCTATAGCTTGATGTTTCAGACCCTTGCCAAATGATTAGAAGTCATAAGTTGCAATCCTTAGGCTCAAGGAAACAGAACATGTCTCTCTCTGTTTAGCCATTCATTTTTTCAACACTCAGGTTTATTTATGGGCAGTTCTGTGTACTAGTAGATTAGTTAGGCCACATTTTGTTAGGAAATGTGCACAAAAACAATGTTTGTTTGATTTACCTTTGGCATTCAGGCACTTTGCCAGTACATTCATGATCAAGACCATAATGAAATATAGAAACCATTCAAGGGCTATCACTTACTCAATAGCCAAAAAGAGTAAGGCCCACACTTTCAAAAAAGTTCACTAATTTTGGGTATCTCAGGTTGTGAGTGCCCTGGTGAAAGAGTTCTAAGGGCTTGATTTCCACTTGTGTGGCAAAACTGCAATTCATGTTGAAGCTATTTGGGACTATGCATGCTTAGTGCCTATGAAAATGTGGCTACATTGGCTCAACATGGGTTTGAAAATAATAATGGATACATTTGAATATACATGGTACAGTACTGTAATAGCCATTTTCACATGCCAGGTGAAAATTGTATGTATGTCCCCACTCACTGTGATAAATATATGCCAAAACAATTTGTGCAGAAGAAAATGACCAGTGCTCAAACGGGTTCTTTTGATGTTCTTTTTCCTTGAGACCCCAACTGAGGAAAGCACTTCAGTACATCTTCAGCTTTATTACTTATCTACCTAATACCATTTTTAAAAAGGAAAGTTATCTGAATCAGGGCTTAAAATTGTGATAGCAAGTTGTTTAGCTGGTTGGATTTCTCAGTCACAGCAGGATGTTCCTGATGCATATTGCACAAGAGTAAATATTTGTTGTTGGGTTAGTGCATGTGATTCCACTTCATGTTGTCAGGACAGGTAAAATACTGAAATATGAAAAAGGAAGGACTTCCAACTGTAGCATATCTTAAAGTTGTTGTTATTGCATTTCCTTTTTAGGTACTAACATCACAAAAATCCTCCACTTCTGATATTTTGCTGTCCAAAATTTGTTTCTTAAATAGTAATGCTAGCTCAAGAGAAGAAAACCTAGAAATGCAAGTTGTGTGTGAAATCATCAGGTTTCAGAAAGCACACTTTAGTTATCTGAAATAACACGTCAGTTTTTAAAGAGAGAAAAGCAAAGCTTCTCCTGAAAAGATTACTTCCCAAGGTAATACTTTAGAACATACTGCTATCTTGTGGCAAAAGTGAGAACTACAGCCTAAAGGCCTTCAGAAAAGCGGCTTTACCTCTTCAACTGCCGAAGCCCAAATAGAAGGGACTTGAAATGATTAAAGAAACCTTATATGTATGTCACAAACATTTCAACATTTTTAGTATTATCTTGCATACAGCAGAAGTAGAATTTGAGAAGTTTGTATAGTTATTGCCTGCTTTGTGCCAAGAAGGTTAATCATCTCCCTTCTTGGGAATACCATGATTCTTGAAGATACCTGCATGCTTTTGCCTGAGGTGCCATGATTTTATTTTTGGGTTTAGGAACAGCATCCTCAGTGGGAGACCTTTGACTGGAATGTGTTTCCCCTTCTGATCAATCAGAACAGGTCATCGTGGATATGCTGTAGCTTATCTATTTTATTCAAGTTTTCTCAGATTTTAGATTGAGGGGCTTGTTTTGGCTCAAGTGTGGTCTTAGCTAGGTCAGATACATCTTTTACTGTCTTTGGAAATGATATATTGTGTTTATTACTATAGGTGAAGGCCCCGATCATGTGTTGACTTCAAGGTGACTAAAATTTAGCTGCTGCTCATCTCAAACGTATACTTTCCCTCAGAAAAGATGATCCTATTACACTACTAAGACACCTAAGTCACCTGGTCTCTCAGGGAGCATCATAGTGTGCTTCAAGAGGCTGATCCTATTGTGCTCAAGGAAATGTCCATGTACCCTTCCCTTTCTCTTAGTGGGCAGAGTTATGAGCCTAATGAACTTCCATCATGTTAGGATGTAGTTTGATACAATGTGCTAAGTGGGGAGGCACACTTACTCCAAAGAGGTTTGTACCAGAGTGCTTAATTAACAGACAGCAGCACTGACATCAATGTAAATAAAGGTGAGAATGGGTGGTCCCCACATTTTGCCCTGCAGCCCAGGGGTTAAGACTTAGTTTCTAGGCCCATCTCATTGAGAGAGGGATTTCTAAATCCCTTTCTCCTGCTTTTTAAGACAAAGGAATGGAAAGGTCATAGGCTTGACAAGAAAACAAGCAGAAGGGTGTGTTGTCACCCCAGCTGGGAGGAGGAAGTCTTTAGGTCTGCTTCCTGCTGTCACGGCTAGTTCTTTCTTTGATCAAGTTACTGTCTAAATGTATAAACAGTCCAGAGATCCAGGAAAATGGAATATGATTCTGTTACCCAATGAGGAGAATATTCAGCTGGAACGGGGAATCCTGGGTTCTGGTCCCTGGTGTCAGGGATGCTTTATATATTTTGAATTAAATAGCCGTGCACAAAAAGGATCAATAGAATTGGGAGCAGGAAGCAGGTGGAAGATGCATTTAATCCTACGCTATCGGAAAAGGGCACAGCCACCAGCCACCATAATGGTTGATATAAGCATCAGTTACTGCATATAGTTTTTAGGTCAACTAACTATGTACAGACATTCAGTTTCTCTGGGGAGGGGCACTGCTCTCCCAGGAGAAACCAAAAGTGGACAGATGTTCAGACTTTTTCTGCTAGAGCAAAAATGGGTGCTGCGGGAGAAAAAATAACCTGGGAACAATCAGGGTTAAATCACTCCCAAGAGTTTCTCCTGGGAAAGCCAAGGTCTGTACAAGTTCTAGGGATTTTCAGACTCATGCAGAAGTTACATTCTCAGATATAACAGATTCACACTAGACTGTAAATAGAATGAGACCCCTAAATCGTCATTCTGTAGTGCTTCTGAATATGCACAGTGAACCAAGTCTAGCCTTATAGCAAACTTTTCAGGCTAAGACAGAAGTGTGTAAAATATCTAGGAACCTTAAGAGAATTTTGGCTATTGTGTGAGATGGAACAGAATCAAGTGTTTTGACTTGGATGCCTAACAACTGCATATGTATCATTAATACATCTTTGGTGTGAAGTAGGATCTGGGCTGAAATATATAAATAAGTGGTGGGCTATATGAACCTTGGTGCTAGGGACAAAACCATCTTTTCCAGTCTGTGGATTTCCTCTCTCACTATTACATAATCTACAATCATTCTGGAACTTACTTTGTGCTTACGAAGGCTGACTATGTAAATCCCATTAATACTAGTACTGTATTAATGCCAAATGACTTTAGTAGTATAGACCCCAGGTCTGTGTGTAAAACCTCCTTTTACTTCAGTGTGAGCTCTGTTTGTTGAATAAGCACAGAATATGCAATGTGAATTGTGCAGCTTAGAAAACAAACTTATGCTCTATATGCCCATTAATTATTTCCTACCAACTCCATGGGAACATTGTATGTTTTTTCCCCTGAAACCAATCTTGCATTATTATGATTATTCAATTTTTCTAACATTTCTGCTTTCTGTGACTAATATGGTTATCTGTTCTCTGTCAGAAATCTGAGTGATTGTTGAAGACCTAAAGTCACTCAGTTCATGACTCATTATCTTTATTTGTCCAACTGGTGGCCCAAGGACTGCCTGTAGCCTGAAAGGGGTTAATGTGAAACCCCCAGCTGCCACTCCCCTGACTGCTCAGATGGCTGTTGCAGTTGGGGTCTCAAAGCTTCCCATTCCTCCATCAGCTTTTGCTTCTTGCTCCAGCTCCAGGGGGCAAAGCAATGCAGCAGTGCTGGGGAGTTTGTGGCTCAATACAACTAAGGTTGGTGCTTCAAGCACAGTGCAACAGCTGTCTGAATGATTGGTGCCTGGGGGGTGGGGGGGGGATGGAGGTGGGGGAGGAGGGTAGCCCACATGGACAGTGAAAAAGAAAGGATGCGTGTGTGGCTTGGGGGCCCATTGCCAGCACTTGTGCAGCCCCCGCCAATTAATGGCATAACAGGAAGCAGCTACAAAGTAATTATACATTTTTCTGTGGAATAACTTTATAGCTTATTCCACTTTTTCTCATGCCATTAATTGATTGAACATGTGGCCAGGTGAGCACTTAAAATGTGATTAAAGTATAGAGGGGGCTTGAGAAGTCTTTGGGTCCTGGATTTTTAGTTCTGTTTTATATAAAACATTCACATTCTTGAAACAAAGACATTAGCAAGAGCAGTATTGGTATTGGTATTGTAGATGATTGTATGCACTATAATATCATTGGGTCCATTTACAGTAGCTTAACTCAGCATGAGGTCTGAGTGCAATGTTGTTAGGAAGAGGCTAATGTGATGCATAAGAAAGGGAATATCAGATGAAAGATCACTTCTTTACAGAGTGCTGGAAAGACTGTCATTAGGATATTTCGTCTATTTTTTACATCTACTTTTCCACTAGCTGTGTTCAAAGAAGAGTCACAAAAAATATTTGGCTGACAATCAGGCAATCAAGTGTAAGGAGATTAATAGAGCTATTGAAGAGATGGTTAAGAGATGACTCAGGTACTGGACAGAAAGTCCAGTCTATCTTTTCCAGATATATCTTACAATAGAGACCTTTGTGCTTGCTGATGAAAATATTGCACAATTCAGTGACAATTTTCCTAATATCTCTGATTG